TTAAAATTTAATTATAAAAAAATATATTATATTTATCTAATATATAATTTGAATTTTATAAATATTTAAACTACTAGTTATAATTATATAAAATATTAGCTAAATATTTGTATTTAAAATTTAATTATAAAAAAAATATTATATTTATCTAATATTTAATTTGAATTTTATAAATATTTAAACTACTAGCTATAATTATATAAAATATTAGCTAAACATTTGTATTTAAAATTTAATTATAAAAATATATATTATATTTATCTAATATTTAATTTGAATTTTATAAATATTTAAACTACTAGCCATAATCATATAAAATATTAGCTAAATATTTGTATTTAAAAATTTAATTATAAAAATATATATTATATTTATTTAATATTTAATTTGAATTTTATAAATATTTAAACTACTAGCTATAATCATATAAAATATTAGCTAAATATTTGTATTTAAAATTTAATTATAACTACTTAAAATGTAAATATTAAAAAAATAAAAAATATTAATATGGCATTTAGCTGGAGAAAATAAAAAAAAGTAGGTTTAGATAATAATTAATTTTATTAGAAAGTTAAGCAGCCAATACGGTTATGTTCAACTGCCAGAAATTAATTAAGTTTTGTGTAATGGTCATGGTTATATGATTTCGTAAAAAAATCCATCTTCAAAGTTATATGATACACCTTTTTTTAAGTTGACATCGTTATATTCTTGCTTCTGTGTGTGAAAGAATAGAAAATTAGATACCAAATAAAATTTTATGTAATAATCATCACTAGGAGGGAACGTCGATGTGGTTCTACCAAAAAAATCTCGACATCCAAAATTCTGAAATCCATATTCGCGACATCATGCGATGCGACAATTAAAATTTAAAGCCTGACAATGATTGTTAATGTGATTACTAATCTTTAAATATTAATTGTTATGCCATGTGATGTCAGGATTATGGTTTTCGAGATTTTAGATGTCAGGATTTTATGGTAGAACCCGTCAATGTTACATGACTGATCCTTTACCTAGTATGCAACATATAAAAAACTATTTTATCATTTCGCTAGAACATGTTATGATTATAATCTAAAATCATTTTATTATAATAAAAATGGTGTTGGATTATAATTATAACATGTTCTAACGGAATGATCTGATATTGTAAAATAGTTTTTTATATGTTGCACACCAGGTGAAGGATCAGTTGTGTAACATCGATGTTCCCTTCAGTTATAATCATCAATTCATATTAATATTTCTGTAATCCCATGACTCTGTAATAAAACACAGAAAAATCTCGTTTTATTTATTGTCAATATTATATATTATTATAAATAGTAGCAAGTACCTAAAGTTGATTTGAATATTGCAGAGTGAAAACTCGTAAATGAAAATTTAGTTTTCACTGTAGCAAATTTAGCTCATATGCATTATCTAAAATTACAAGCTACTGTACAGCATGGACTAAAAGACCCCTCGTTATAATACCCTCACGATTTTTGGAAGCCAAGAATGTAAAGTACCCCAGGTACTAAGGATTGCACTTGGGAATGTAAAATACCTGGGTACTAAAGATTTTTTAATTGCATTTAAACTATATAAAATATTGATGTGTCCCTCATATAGCAAAATACGTTTTATTATAAAACTTTATAATAAAAAAATTATTATCTAGCTTTTTAAACCCTATTTTATTATTATTGCAGCTCTATATACAGTTTAAAAAGAACCTGTTTTTCGAATAGAGTCGATACTATTTAACTTATTTAATCTATAATCTTAGATTATTATTATATTCTACACATCTACGTAGCATAGATTCATCATTAATTTGAACCAATAAACATTAATATAAATCATATGATCATACTTAACTCTAAAAATTCCATTTTAACCTTTTTATTTAATGCATCAGACAAATTAATCTAATTTATCAAATGTAATGCAATTGAAGTAATTAATTAATAGATGGATTTTTATGAAGTACTATAAAGGCAATAATAAAATTCAAAATTTGAGAAATAATCAAATAAAAAGCAATTTAGGTAATATATACGTATTATAAAGTTTGATTTTATAATATGATACAGTAAAATTCATAATTAATTCGAAAGAAACTTGAAATTAATTTTTATACATGTTTTATTAAGAGATCAAAGTCTGGACTTATTAAAGCATGAAAGCTATTGCGTTTATATATAAGATGATATTAAAATCCTAATTTTTTATTAATTGGAATAACTGCAATATGTCTAGTCGATCGATGTAATTTGTAATCTGCTTTAAAAAATCAACAGAAAATTCTTTGAACAGGCAGAACATTTTCAACTGAATGTTTGTAAAAGCTATTTTCCCACAACTTAGCACAAAACATTCCAGCATGAGCACGTCCACTTTCATCAAATTGAAAGCAATCAGTTTCATGACTATAAATATGAAAATGATCACAACAATTAGATGTTTTATACCAATCAACAAAAGCAAATGAATGCTCTATAGTTTTAAAATCTATTTGATTTCTAGAATTTTCTGTGGTAACCTCCTTTGAAACCTGTACTCGATGCTTAAAATAGTATAATACTTTTCCAGGCCAGTAATATATTTTACGTTCTTTACCAGCTTTAGTCTTTTTTTCATCAACAAAAGCTGCAATTATATATAAATTTGAGTCTAATCGTGAAGAAACAGAACCAAACTTTTCATCTTCAATACAAATAATTCCAACTCGTTCAATTGCAGATGTTACAAAAATTGAATTAGAGTTTGAAAAATAATCACAAGATGCAATAAAATTTAATGTTTGCTGGTTTTTAATATAAACTTTGTTATAAAATTGTGCAAGATATCAGTTCGTAGTATCATCCAAATGTGAAAAATGTATAGGTTTAAGAAACTTTCCAGGAAATAATTCGGCTCCAGTAATATCTTGTTCAGAAATTTTAGTTGACATATTATAAAGATTTAGAACATCTTGTATGGGTACTAAGTATTTAGTTAATGTTCTTCCTGATGTAATAGAATTATCAAATACTCTAAAGGAGTAATTAATTGAATCTGAAAATTTTTTTAATAAAGTTGAGGCAACAATATTAATTGTAATTTCTTTATAAATAGCAACCATAACTTCAGTAGTAATATCTCTATTCGAAGTTGGAATTGTTAATAACTTGTCATTCATTCGCTTATATGCAAAACACCAAATTCCATATACTGGTCCATAATCCAAGAAGCACTCTTTTAAATGAATATGCATATGCATATTGGGTGTAATAAATTCAGTGCCAAAAATTTTTTCAACAGCAACGCAAAACCGACAAATAAATTCATGTGCCTTTTCAATTTCAGATATACTAATTACTCTTTGTGCCCACAAAGCATTAGCACATACAAAATCTTGCTAATATTTTCTGTGATTTTCAGGTAACAAATTACGAACTGCTAAAGTAGAATAGATTAATATCCAATTTTTCCACTGGTCAGCAGTAAAGAAAGAAAATCCAGCAGCAATCTTATGAGAAATTCGACCTATATCATATGGAGGTGGGTTGTGATTAATAAGATTTTGTATAATTTCTAAATCTTTTTTAGAAATTAAAGGCTTATTATTTTTAATATTAACAGTAGTCCAAAGTTTTGTAATATGTTGTGCAGTTCCTAAATATAAGTTATGCATTGGGTCAACTACTATAAAACGAATAAGATCAATATAGGAAAGATGTAGCAGCGGAGTCCATCTAATATCATACTCATTAAATATCTGTTTTTTTTCTCTATTACTTTTATTTAGCCAATTATTAAATAATTGTTTATGTCTGATATTGCTAAGACAGGAAAATTCTTGATCAAATCCAGAAAAATTTACTTTTCCATTTGAAAATGTTGTAAATTTTTTGGTACATCTATAACAACCATTTTTTGATGAATGTCCTGCAAATCCTGATATTTTACGAGCTGCTGGTGTATCACATGCAATAAGTATTAAAGCACTACGAAAAAGCTGACTATTCAGATATTTTGGAGTTTTAATTACAATTCCACTCCATAATTTGTTTAATTCATAAACAATTGGTTCAATATAATTATGAATTTCAGTAACCGAAGGTTCATGAGGTCCTGGAATTAGACCAACTAAAAAAACATTTCTAGTTTGGTATCGAATATGTCTTGGAAAATTTAAAATAGTTAAATAGATAGTGCCAACTGATATTGGTGAATGTTTGTATGGATTAAACCAGTTAATGTTAAGTGAAAATCCTAATCTTCCTTCAGCTGAATTACTAACAAAAAAAGCAGTTTCATCATCATCTTCAAATGTACATCAAACACGACCATCATATACATCAGAAAGTAAATTGTCTGGTAGTAATAAATGTTCATAACAAGATTCTAATGCCTCTTCTATTTCTGGAAGCAAAAGAATTTTTTTAAGATGTAAAATAATTGAATAGTAAGAATATATTTTAATACCCTATATAGATATAATATAGAAATTTTTTAATAAATATAAAGATTTATATAATTGTTAAACAGTTTTACTAAATCATGCCAATGGTGCTTAACACCATAGTTATTATACCTTACAACTAACTAAATAACCAATGCCAGATGTAATAAGTAAAAATATTTATCACCCTAAAACCTCACTCTAACTAAAGTTTAAACATATATCTTTACTATGATTTGGATTCTCTAGCCATAAATTTTATTAAAAAATTTATTAAAAGACATATGTGGTGTTGGATACCACTGACGTGATTTAGTAAAACTGTTATTCAGTACCTTGTATAATATTTTTCCTTTAGACATTCGAATGGGCTTTTTGAGTTCTGCTCTACAAGTGCAATTTGACTAACCAAATTCATTTAAATATTCTTGTGTCCAGAAAAGTTTATGACATTTTGAACATACATAAAATTTAATAAAATTTTGATCTAGTCCAAAAAGCTTTGAAACACGATAGTTTGATTTGGGAAAAATCGTGAAGTAATCAGAATTAATATAATTCAATATAGAATATAAGAAATTAAAAAGAATTTCTGTTGACGTTTTAGCAAGAGCTATTGTGCGTTTAAAAAGTAAAATCCACAAAACAATCCATTGAATGATAATTGGAGCAGCAAGTAATAAGCATGATATGTTATTTGGGTCTGATTCAATGCAAATAGGAAAATTTGTAGTTAAATTTGATTCATATTCAGTATTTTCATCATCATATTCAGTACTAATATAATCCTCCATTTCATCTTCTAGACTAATACTGTCATCTGTTTCATCTTCATAATTATCCGAATTAATATCCAATAGATCAAGTTGTGTTTCATGTTCACTATCACTATCTGATTTGACAATTATATCACTAGTTAATCCAAATTGTGTAAGGTTTATATTATTTGCAAACTTATTTTTTTTCTGCGAATTGATCCTTCTGCAAAATTATCAAAGCTTAAAGAATTGGAATTTTGTTCTGCATATTCAGATACTAAGGCTAAATCAGATTTAGAATCTTCTATATTTTCAAATATAAGATACGAATCTGATAAAGAAGTATCTGTACTTTCTGATACTATAGGTGAGTCAGGTTGAAGACCTTCTAAATGGAGTTCACTACTTTCATTGGTAATATTATCTTGAATTATTGATACCGATGGTGTAGGGTCATCAGACATATATAAATTAAAATGGCTATTTCAAGTTCTCTAATCAACTTTTTTTCTATTACATTCTGGACATATACAAATATGTACTATTGAAATAATGTTAATTATATATGTGAAGAGTTTTGTATTATTATTGAAAGACAAGAAAAATACAGTTTAAAGTATTATATATTGAGTCTAGAAAATAAAAGTTTTTTTTTTATTTTATTTTGAATCAGATTACTATTCTGAAGTTTAATGATCCTGATGACGGGGTCTGTTATAATTAGGCTATCAATTCAAATATGTTATTTTTTTTATCTTTTGTATATAGATTAGTATTTTTTATATTTCATCAACAAAATTCTTTTGCTTACTGTATTTATTATTTGACTTTACTAAACACTACTGAAAGATAAGTATAATACTACATTTTTGTTTGTTTTTAATATTAATATATTCTACTAATAGATCTGTTTTATTCCTTAAGTTTTCCAACTTTTACTACCCAAAACTTTATTATTATGCTTAAACAGGTTTTAGAAAGGATGGTCGTCAATTCAAAAATAAGTAATAATACTTAAAGTTAATAAATTAAACAGATTAAAAACCTGTTATTTTATCATTATTGCTCAAATATGCTATGAATAGTAATTTGATCTTCAATATCAGATCGATTGCATATCCCAAATATCAAATAGATCGATGATACATTATTCCCAAAAACAAGGTTATATTTACGATCTAAACTAGTTAATATTAAGATAGGGAACAAAATAAAGGACTGAGTTATATATATATATAATGTTTTTATTAACTTGCCATCCTCAATATAATTTTTTGTTTTATTAATTGGCCTCTATTTCTCAATTGTGATAGTATATTATTTTAATATTAATGATTATAATATAAATGAATAATGAGTGTCATTAAGGGAAAACCTGTCATCGGGTTTTTAATTATATTTGTAATGGATATAATCACTAGTATATCAAATAGATCAAATCCAGTACGAAATATAATTAAAAGCCCGATGACAGGTTTTTACTTTATGGCACTCATATATATGTATTGTATATCTAGAATTTTAATCGGACATTAAACCTAACTAAAAAAAAAAAACTAACAATAATAAATAAATAAGATACGTTTTTTGTTTTTCTACTTGTGATTCTTCTCATTATTTATTCGATAATTATTTATTCAATAATTATTTGTTCAATAATTAAAAAAAAATTTACAATTATGTCATCTGAAACAACTAATTTTCAAATATATACAGCAATACAATCTCTTGAAGACCTTGTAAAATCACAATATGTAGAACAGCAAAAAAGATTAGACGATCAAGATCAATTATTAAAGAACATCGAAGAAGAGATAAAATTACAACTTGCAAATCAACAAAATAAAATCGACAAATTGACAACTATTATCTAACAAAATAGATTCAATAGTTTTGAAGAAGATAATAGGCAATTAGTTGATATGATAAATGCTGAGCTAACTAGTTTGAATAACCATAACAGTCTTATTAATGACAAGTTAGATTCTTTTGAGACATTGCTGAGAAATTATTCCAATATTCATGACAAAAGCAAATTTTCTTTGTTATTTCAGTATCCAAGAGCTATTAAATGAGTTAAGAAGAGGGTTTATAATGAACAAAGTGAAGAGGAATCGGTTCAGGGTGAAGACTTAATTGAAGATACCAGACATTCCTATCATGAAACACATCCAACTTTAGTTTGTTATCTTTATCGCAAGATTAAATTACATTGCAAAAAAAAATAGCATATAATAATAAAACCTTACCTGCAAATCAAACAGTTGGTAAAAAGTATCTTCCAGATGTCTCCAATACGCCTACTGCAGGAAATAATCCAATAATTATTGAATGATATGTAAATTATTTTATGAGAGATTGGGATGTTTGTAAAAATACTACAGGTATTTAATAATTACTTAGAGAAATTCTATTTTCGCCCAGGTTAAAGCTACCTATAATGTCATTTAATTATTAATATTAGTAATAATTAGTAATATTTCGGGGTACTTTAACCCAGATAAAAATAAAATTTCCTAATTACTTATTTGAGTTTTATAGTTTAAACATTACTATACAAGATTTTATTCTTTCAGAATTAGCATCTGAGCAACCTTGGACACATGAAATCATTACGGATATTGCAATTCAATATTTTCAACATTTATATAAAGATTATCTTGCTTTGAAAAAGAACCCTAATGCTTTTGATAATCGAAACATTAAGCAGCGCCGTGATAATTGTCTTAGTATAGTAAGATAGAAATTTTACAAATTTTAGATTTATATTTCAAATTTTTAATTTAAATTTTATTTTCAGAAATCTAAAGCATTATTAAAAGCCTTGGATCAATATTCTGATGTTGAAGATTTGCATTATCCAAAAGAAGAAATTAAACTCATTCTTCATAAACATTGTATGTCACCAGAACTAACAGATGAGGAATATTAGGAACTTCATCCACAAGACAAAAAACAATTAATTGTCGCACCTGTATATTGGCACTCGGATGAAATAAAACAATTAACTCTATATTTCTTATTATTTTACTTATTAATTCGATTTATATAAATTTAAAAAATTTTATTATTTAAAGCATAATAGATTACGATCTATTTTAAATAAAAAAGCTGGTATTCCATGCCCAAGTACGTGGTCACCCTATTCAAAAGAAAAAGAAAAGGATAATGGCATGTTCAAACGTGTTTATTCTGAATCCGAACATTCGCAATATGAGAAATTAATTGGTCTCTTACCTGATAAGTTATCTTTTCTTCCTGATTGGGCTTATGAGGTACTAATATAATATTTATATTTTGGTTAATTACTGTACAGTACTGCGTACAGTATCTTTTTAAAAAAGGTATCCCTTTTAAATAGTATTAAGTATTTTAAAAGTCTCCTGGTACTAATCAAATGCATAACCTGATTCAATAATCCTGTAATATGATCAACCCATATGATTACAACTAATACACCCATATAGTATACTTCTCGCATAGTACTCTGGAGTACTGCATGCAGTGCTGTACGATTTTTTTTTTATATATATGCTTTATTACTTACTAATTTTATTTATATTTCATAATATATAAATTTGCAAATGATATTGATATTACTACGTAGCGCTTTCATATCGATATAAACTAAGCAATTTATCATGAGATAACAATATTTATATATGTATTTATAATAAATATTATTGTAATTTACTATTATATACTAAATAATATTCGAAATAAATAAAATAAATAAATAATATCTATGCAAATAAAAACTTGTGTAAAATATTAAATAAATATAATATAAATAAAATTAAAATACAACATAAAAACTACATGTATTTAGTAAAAATATAAATAAATTTAAATATAAATATTTAATAAATTTTAAAAAAACATCAAACAAATGAAAATAAAAATATATATTGTTTTATATATTTATATAAATATTTATATAATATTTCAATCTTGTTTTAATAATATTTATTTTATATTTATTATTAATTTTAATTCTATTTGTTGCTTGTTTAAGTTTTGATTTAATATTTATTTTTTAAATATTTAAATAATAAGTAGTAGTAGATAAATATAGTCAAAATTATACAATGTTTTAACTATATGTAAATAACATTTAAATTATTATTTTTTACAAGTTTTTTATTAAATTTGTATGATATTTTGTTTAGGTTAAATATATCCTTTTTGATATATGTTTATAATGCATTACTTTTGTTGACTACTGTATGTATATACTCAGGATCTCGCTTTGCGAGATCCTGTTTAATGTACTGTTTGTCTTTAACAGAGATCCCAAATTTGCCCTGCATAAATGGTGCATATTTGGGATCTTGCGCTTCATTAGAAGGACAAAGGACTAAATATAAAAATTCTTTAAATAAAATTTTTAAATTTCAAATTTCAAACAATGGAAATAGCATAATAAATGATATCATTGTTTTAACTTGCAATCTCTAACATATAATCATACATATTTTGCTGCTTTGCATGCATCTACATTTTTTTAAATCTACTAGATTTACATACGTATATACATATGTATATACAGTGCAAGAAATCTAAAAACTGGTATTTACTTATAGAGACAAATATATAAATGCTTATTAAAATCGATACTTTAAGAAATACTTAATTATTCATTACATTAACTCTGGAGAATAGTACATAATCAAGTAGCACATTGAAATTAAATATTTCTTAAATTATTAACTTTAATAAAGTATTTCCATATTTATCGTTATGTACAAACTTTATTGATGCTATAACTTAGGAAATGATTCGGTTATACTTGTCTCTACAAAGAGATTGTTGTTTTTAGTTTTCTTGCACTGGTGCAAGAAATCCAAAAATCTCATACTGAAGTAAGCTAAAATCAGTAGTAGCTTATTGTAAGTTTTAGTCATGTGCATAGAATAGTTGCTATTAAGTGCATATTATTTATTTCTATGCAAAGAGGTTGTGAATCCAGATCTTTTACTTTATTGAAATTTATAATTTAAGAAATTTAATTTGTAATATGCTACCAGTTTATGCATTATCTTTGTTATCTTTATATAGAAATTGAAGTTTTTAGATTTCTTACACTATATGTGCAATACCAAGCATGTATCAGCACAGGTCATTGATTATTGTAGAAAATGTATTATCAAATATCATTGTAGTTTTTTATAAACTATAATTATATTTAAAAATGATATAAATACTTATTCAAAAAAAATTTTTTATAAAAAAGAGTTTTAAACTGATTATTAAATTTTTAAATATATAAAACAAATTGAACAATATGAGTAATAGCAACACAAATGGAAGCAATATGTCAGGCAATTCAATGAATATATCTGACAATTCCGTAAATATTCCAGATGAAACAAATGATATTCTTTTTAGAGAAAATAAATATTTACAAACTAAGATATGTTAATAATTAAATAAATAAAGATTATATAACTTTAAATCCACAAAAGAATTGATTATATCTATTATTATTTGAATATTATTTTACACAATCAGTATTTTTTTTTGTTTACTAAAAAAAGTCAATTTACTGAACTTGACAAAAAAAATTCTATTAGTGTATTAGAATAGGAAGTATTTTTATTCTTTTTGGAAATATAAGCAGTCTGAAAGATCTTTTCAAGTAAATTGATAAAAATAAACAAAAAATTGATAAATTAATCAATTACCTTCTTAAAACTTCTAATGATGATAAAATAACAAAAAATTCTTTTGCTAAGAGTATTGTTCTCAAAGAATATAAAAAACATTAATAAACAATATTTTATTTCTTAAACAAAATTAATAAACATATATGATATATGTTAGTTAGTCATACTATATATATTGTAATTGCTTTATTAATTTTTATTATTTTAGTATTAATTTTAATATTTATCTTAATTTTTTTAAAAAATCAAAATGGTCCAACAAATGATTATATATTTAAAATTACAAATATTATATTCATATTTCTTTTATTCTATTTTTAAGTATAGTTCTTTCAATATTAATTTACATTCAATTAATTATTCTAAAAATAATAGAAATAGAAAGTTCTGTAATGTTAAAATTGGAAGTGCTCATAAAAACAATAATAAAATTAGAAATTTTAAATTTACAAGATCTTAAATTAGGAAATTTTATTAAAAATAAAAAGTTTGATATTAAAAGTAATATTATAAAAAAGATGAATAAAAAGAATATAATTAAGATTAACAATATGATTAAGAAAAATATTGTAAAGAATCTACAAAAATGATTTCATATTGAAGATAATCAAAAACAAATAAAAAAATTTGTTTAAAATAATAATAATTTAATAGAACTTTTAATAAATCTTTATTATAATGTTAAAATTAATTTATTAGATTTTTTTTCAAATCTTATTTTATAAATGTATTAAAGAAATAAAAAAAATAAACATAAAATAAATACTCACAAAGTGTTAAAGTTTTTTATATCTTTAGTTATAAAAATGCTAATCATTTTTAAACTTTTTAAACTACTTTTTTTTTTATTCCACTGGGATTTTATTTTATTGAATTAATATTATAGAAATTTGAATTTAAAAAAATTAGTATAATAGCTACACAAATAGATAAGATTAGTCATATAATTTTTAGTTTACTAGTATTGGAGGATAAGAAAAAAGTATTATTGAAAGATAATAAGAAAGCAGTATTGAAAAATAATAAAAAAGCAGTATTGGATAATAAAAAAGCAGTATTAGATAATAATAAAAAAGATCAGCATATAATCCAAATAAGAATTAGATTTGAAATTGATCTTTAGTTTTAAATATAATTTCTTTTGAATTAGATTTAAATTCAAATATAGTCCAGTACGAAAAAATTTGCATCTTATTAAAAAATAATGTAATTTATTAAAAAAAAAAAGGCATATAATTATGATGTCAGCTTAAAAAATATATATATAATAGAATATAATGAAACTCATCTGCAGTATTGATTATTTTTCTTTACAATGCCTTCTTCTTTTTAAAAAGAAATGGTATGTCACTAACTAAAAATAAGAAGTTAATAATTATTAATCTTTACAATTACCTTTCTGGGAGTAATTTTGCGAAAAATGATTATTGAAAGCTGACATTATACAAGAGAGTTGCTAAAATATTAGGTATTTCTAAGAAAACAGTTAAAGACATAATAGCAAACTGGAACAAACATAATAATAATACATTTATATTTCAAAGAACTCTTATGTAATTTAAATTTCAACCTAATCAAAATATATCAGAATTACTGTATATAAAAATTTTAAATGTTAATAAAATAGATAAATAATTTTCTACACCTATTTTTTATCAGTTTCTTCTTGAATATGGATATTTATTTTCTAAATAAAAACTTTTTTGGTTATTATATCTTTTAGATTATTATTTTAGTTAAAGAGAATAAAAAAATATTTTTTATAAATTACTCAATAATGTTGTATTTTATTGTTACTAATTTAGCTTTCAGTTTGCTAATTTGGAAGACAAAAATAATATTACATATTAACTTGAGGTTTTTCTTAATAAGTCATATTGCTATTTACATCATGTCTTATGCAATACTTGGTTTTCCTATCAAGGTGTCATTTTAATTCCTGGATATGGTTTGTTGATAATAATTTTTGAAACAATTATTGTATTCTGAAATGGATCTTTCAACAAACTTTATGATAAACTTGTTCTGAATTCTGTTTATATTTAGGACCCAATGATTAAGTCTCCAAAAAACTGAGAATGAAAAAGAAATAACTCTGAAGAATAGAATAATATTTCAGATATTGTTAAAGGTGCAAATATTATTCCTAATTAAATAAATTATTATAGAAACTTCAATGTAGATATTTTTAAAGATCTTTTTTCTAATATTTATAAAAGACTTTATGAAAAGTATGGGTCAGTAATCATTCATATGGACAGAGCAACCTATTATAAATAACAAATCAAAAATGTTCTAACATCAAGTACAAAAAAACAAAAAATAATTGTCTAATTGACTGCTTATGGTATTTCTTATTCTGGCAAATTAAAAAAACCAGAACTCTTGAACTTAGTTCAAAAAAATAAAAAGAAGGTATCATTCACTTGTATTGAAATAACAAAATGATACAATTATCAAATTTCTTATACCCTACTGTATCACTATAAACTTCAACCTATAGAGAGTATTTGGGTAGTTGTAAAGGGTAAATTTGCATATTCAGATTTTTATAAAAATCTTTTGTTCATTTGTAATACACTTTTACATTCATTTAAAAAAAAATCAATTCAAAAATTATAGTTGGGTTTTGGAGAAAGGCACTTAAATATGTCAAGAAATATGATAAGTCTGACAAAAATGCATAGCTAATCGATGAAGAAATCAATAATATTGATAACTTGGATAATAACATATAAATTTGATTTAAAATTTATATTTTTGTATTTCTCAATATGTACAGAATTATTTGAATAAAAATATATATATATATTGCTTAATAAAAATTTTTTTATTTACATTTCTTGAGGTGCAAATCTTTTTGCACCAGACCATATAAAACTGAGTCTGCAATTCTCACATTGTTTGTACTGTGAGCCCAGAAAATTGGTCTTGGAATGATACATAATCATGGGTCATAGGGCTAATAAATTGCATATATTGCAAATATTGCATATACTACATTTAGGCCGTTCGAAGTTGATTCTCAGCTGAAGGCTCCCCCCGAGAAATGAACAACCAATCAAAACGCTGGATAACTCTCACCAATCTCTTGATTTACATTGACCAATCAAATTGGATCATATTTGTTCATTCTATATGTTCGTTTAATTTATCCCCCCACCCGAGAGTTCTAAAGTGATATCGTAACCAAACTTATTAAATAGAATAAAAGTAATTCTGATTGGGCATCTTATTTTGTCTATATCAAACCATAACCAAGTAGCACGAATCTGATTCATAAATATAAATATATTTTGAAAAGAAAATTATGAATTCGAATGCAGTTCCTTTTAACCGATTACAAACTTAGGGCAAAATTTGAAGAATAATGAGAAATTTATTATAAAAGTGTAAGACCTAATAATTAGGGCACAGACACAAAACGTCGCCGTTTTTTTAGTCGTTTTTGGCATGCTATCATAGGATCGATGTTTAGAAAAATCGATCCGTCGCGTGATAATTGAGGTCTTAAATAAACCGACATCAAAGCTTACACGAAACATCACAATTAACTGTTTTCGCATTTAAATCTTAGATAGCTGGTATAGTAATAAAGAGTATTTGTTTCTAAGTTCCTAAGGAGGTTGACTATTTTACATAGCAAATATAAATGCTCTTTCAAAACAATAAATTGCTTTTACTATGAACCTTTATTAGAGAAACATTAAATGTTTTACAACTTTTAATTTATAAATCAGTTTGTAAGGTTCAATTATCACGATATTCTGATCATACACTTTCGTTCATACGATCCTTTTAAACAAAACTTTTAACTCATCTTTAGTAGTTACATGAACGTGAACCAAAAGCTTAAAATTTCTTTTTATTAAAATTAAAAATTATTTAAATATAAAACTACATATAAAACAAGATAAAATTTAACCTAAATTTAAGATGAATAATCCGTAAAGTCAGAGATACTTGGTTTTAGAGATTATTTCTCCTACTCATCCCAACCACCACGTAAAGATGTATCTCATTGGTTGGGAAGGTGATAGAGTCCCCAACTCATCTCTTCCGTGTTGGAAGTAGGTTGATCTGTCTTGAATCCTTAATGCTTCTAAGTATTTCATCAAGAAGCTTTGACTCTTCATTATTATTACCTCGAGAGTTTAGAGGTATATAGTGCTTTTTTTCACTATAGGTAAAATTCTATCTTAAGTTTTTCAACTGTTCAAGAAAGGTACATAACCAGTTCCTCCACCGGAACCAGTAGATCTTAAGCAGGAAAAATACAGAAAAACTTAAGGGTAGAACTTCAGTCCACCCTAGTTGGAATATACTTTCCAGTTTAAAAAAAATTAGATAAATAAATAAAACGACACAACCTACTGATACGATCGGAACGGTCTACAAATCTATCGAAAGTAAAAGTATTGTAGAGGTTTGTTTTGATTGTTGTAATATATATCACCACGGCATAGCTTATGATACAGCAGGATAGATTAGTGGAGAAACCAAAATTCAGCAACCAAAATCCGGGGCGTATTGATAAATTTCACCCAAAATCATCCAAAATTTTATTAATGCTAATAAAATGGTGGCCCACATACTAAGTAAAGCTGCCCAGGTGATAATTTTACTGTAGTATAGTTGACTGGTATTATTGCTTAATACCGGCCTATCCAGTACAGCAGCTAGGTATATATTGCAGTATTGGATTACAATCACTGTTTAATAAGACACAAGATCTTAAATACTATCATGCTAGTAAATTACTAAAATATAGCTAGAAGGGTGGCATCAATTAATTGATGAAAAATATGTACCGGGTTGGTGGCGCATATAAACTTCTTAAAATTCATTAAGGACAGGGCTAGAATCAGGGTTAAAAGTTAGAAAGGTGTGGTTGTAATAGTAAAAATTGTCCGACGAAAACTTTTCGTTAAAGCACAAAAGGTGGTTTTCTTGAATCTTCTTGATCGCTAATTCGTAGATCATTGGAACTGCGTCACCAACCTGGTACGATTGCAGATGAAACTATAAGGTCACTGAGTATATTTATTTCTTACCATATAACCTGCCGTTTTACGATGTGCTCTAATACTATATACTGTATAGTAAAATTTATCCTATTTTATAACTTAACAATAGCCCGTCAGCATAAGCGACGGGCTACATACTAATATAGTAAATTAGTACGGTATGAAAACGCAAATTGAGACGGACATGTGGAAATAATAATAGTACATACGGTTTGTAAAAAGAAAATTCATTCGAAACGAAGCTAATTTTCCTATAATCTCATACGAAAAAAGAATTTGTAAGGATTAGGTCTTCTCTTTCATTTGGCATGAGATGTGTCGAATCTTCGGTGTGGCGAGTAAGCATTGGCTAAATAATTACAAATAATGCTTATTAGCCACTCCCAATGATTCATCACATTCTTGTGCCAAATGGATAATGGACTGTACGTACTATCCAATTTTCGTACGTTCGTACATATTTGTACAATCGTACAGTACTATTTTACTAACTACTTCGATAACAGATGTGAAATTTTATGAATGAATATTTTATTATATTAATAAAACTAAGTACAAACGATATATATAATATATAAGAAATTTTATACTTTTTTTAATCGACGATACATATTTATTTATTTAAAAAATATTTTTTTTAATCTATTTCGACGAATGTTCTCGACTTAAATTGACATATCGCCTCTGGAACTACTTTATCTGTTTCAACATCAACTTTCATGGTTTATTCATTACTTATTTCGATAACTTCGTTCACCACCACGGCGCTCTCGTTATTCGTGTCTGAAAAAAAAGCATGATGAATGAGGGTGTCGCGCTGGTTGACGAAGATAAAAATATTATTCATACTTACTTTGCTGGGTGCTTATTATGGGTTGGGGGCCACGGGCAATGGATAAGAGTTTTTATTGCAAGGTATTTACCATTGTTTTAAGCCTTTCGACTTCTACCCTTAATTCTGATTCAATTTCCCTGTTTTGCAACTATGGATGTCAACGGTTCGGTCATGACCGGCCATGACCGTGACCGATACTAGTTCGGTCACAAATAGGGATAGGATCGGTCGGTTACGGTCGGTTATCGGTCGGTTATTACCGGCTAGCCGCTCATAGCCAGCTAGCCGCGGCTAAGTAACCGGCTATAGCCGATCAATTATTTAATTACTTCATCAAATATCTAAATTAAGTGGCAAACAATTGTATGTTGGTTTAATAATTCATATCAGCAGATTCGCATCATCTGATAAAGAGAAAACTCCATCAATCATAATTTTGGCCAAATTTGCAGATCATTTGGCCAGATCTAAAACAAAACAATTTCAAATCTGGTCAAATGATCTGCAAAATTATAACTGGAGGGTTTTTCTTAGGGATGTAAAATTACGGTAATTTTACGTAATTTTGTGTAATTTTGTGTAATTTTGCGTAAGATTCGGTAAATTGAAATTTCATGTAATTGTAATTTTGATCATATGATATTGCGTAGTGATGACTAGTATTTGTAGTACTATGATCAGGTGAATCGATGTGATTGGTTGATCATACATATCATCGTTTAGATCCGTTACATGCATGCAAGTTTATTGTGGTTTTGTGTGTAATCGTCTATTAAATGCATGAAAAATGAGTCATTAATTTGTAGTTTGATAAAGTCAAGATAATGTATAAATAGAATAAGGGGATTAGTATTTTTTTTTTCAATTACGATCATTGTAATAAAGAAATTCATTGAGATTGTGTGTCGTGGATGAAGGTGTGGTTTGAAGTAAGCGAAAAGTGTTAAATAAAGGTATAGACGAACTCAACAAAGTTAAAGCTAAAGGATAACTTGCAGTGATTACCAAGCAGTTAGTGTGATTTGAAGTAAAGCAAAAGTAGAGACAGATCAAAAAGGTTAAAAGTAAAGGATAACTTACCCAACGTAGTATGGTGGTTGTCGGAGGGTTGAATTAAGAGAAAGGGTATTGTTAGTGTCAAGACGAACCAAACAAAGAATAACTTACCCACATAGTATGGTGGTCACCAGGCAGTTGGCGTGTCAAAAGTAAACAAAATTGCATCCATTTTCTAACTTATACAGCATAACCAATATTAAAGACATACGTTAAGGATAAAGAGAGGATTGTCATTAGTATTAAAGTTGAAAATTACAGCAAAACAATATAACAAAAAAAAACAACTATATTTTACACTATATTCATTCATACGGCAATTATAATGGTTCGAACTAAAAATGATAATATGTGGGATTGCTACACAATGCAAATTGATGAAAATGGGAAAGAAAGTTACAAGTATAAAGGGTGTGGTAAGGATTGGGCGAAAAATGCAACTCGGTTACAAGAACATTTGAATACGTGCACTTTGCAAAACTTAAATGAAACTTCTGATTCTAATAAAAAGCGAAAATTCATATTAGATAATTTAGAACAAAAAGAGCAAATAGAATTGGAATCTTTACTTGCCCATGCCTTTTTTACAGCAGAAATTGCATTTAATACAATTGAAAATCTAGAGTTTCATGCTTTTCTTAGTAAGGCTTGTCCTTCTTTTAGAATTCCATTATGCCAAACTCTTTCTAGTTCACTTCTCAAGAAAGAACATGTTAATCTGCAGATGGTTGTTCAGAATATTCTTGAGGAAGCACCTTACCATTGCTTAGTTAGCGATGGTTGGTCAAATGTCAACAAATCATCTGTAATAAATTATATGATAACTACACTTGCGCCTATTTTCTATAAGTCTGTTCACACTAATGAAGAATGTCACACAGCTGAGAATATTGTTAAAGGAATTGACAACATAATGCAAGAAACTGGAATTAGTAAATATGTTGGAATTATTACAGACAACACAAGCAATATGAAAGCTGCGTAGAATATATTAAAAACTAAATATCCAAATAAATTTTTTTTGGGATGCTGGGCACACGGAATAAATCTCTGGATTAAAGACATTCTCAAAAATGAATGAGTAGCACAAATTTTTAAAAAAACCAAAGAATTAGTTCTTTTTTTCGTAACTATTTAATTCCATTAGCTACACTTTATCGCTTACAAAAGGAAATATTTAATATTGAAGTAGCACTTGTTTTAACTGTTGATACTCGATGAACATCAACTTTTGAATGTCTTAATCATGTTTTGTAAGCTCGACCTGCATTATATACTGTTTTAACTGAAGTTATTGAAATAAATAATGATATAAAAACAACAATTTTAGATCATAAATTTTGGGAAAACCTTAAAATATTACATGATTTTTTGAAGCCTTTTATTGTTTTTATAAATCAATTAGAAAGTGATGAACCATATCTTTCTTCAGCATATAAAACATTACAAGAATTAAAAAATACTATTACAACTAATTTACAAATTTTTGAAGATCTGCGTAATGAAACTTTGCAAGCTGCTAGAAATCGATGAGTTAATTTATTATATAATTCAGCTGTTATTGTTGCTTATACTCTTGATCCACGGTACCAAAGCAAGGATCTTGATTTTAAAATATGGGGAGATATTATTAATGCTGAAATAATTCGAATTGCAGATGTTAATAATGAAGATCAAGTATTAAATGAATTATCTAAATATCTTGGAAAATCAGGTAGTTTTGCTAAGAAGTATTTGTGGGACAATTTTACTTCAAAGTCAATTAATTGGTAGAACTTATTAGACATGCAGTATCCAATTTTAAGTCAAGTTGCAAAAAAAGTCCTGTCAATTCCAGCAACATCAGCAGCTAGTAAGCGCAATTGGTCTGCATATGGATTTATTCATTCTAAATTACATAATCAATTGCTTTCTCAAAAAGCAGAAAAACTTGTTTATATATATTGGAATACACGAATACTGCATCAATTAAAAAGATCTATATTAGTTAAAGATTTATATAACAATAATGTAGAAGTTGATAAAGATTCGGTTCATTTAAATAATCAAGAAGCAAGAAATGATTCAGAGAATAATAAAATTGAAGTACTTGACGATGACAATATTACTAATTTTTTTAATAGGCTTATTAATATGTTTAATAATGATGAGTATGAATTTGATGAATATTTAAGTACTACGGCTACTTGAATTTTATTTTTTTTTTACTTTCTTATAATTGTAATTTCAAAAAAATTTTTTTAATTATTTTGCTAATTGCGAGATTTTAATTCTATTAAGTTTTTAGCTTAAATCTTCTTTTTTGTTGTTAAAAAATTTAATATCAAAATTATAAGAAGCTACTTAAACATATATTGGAAATAATTCTTTAAATCGAATATATAATAAGTGCAACAATAATTGCAAAAAAATACAATATAAATATGCTAACAAATATTACATTCCTATAAAATAAACTAAGCACGAATACTAGTAATAATGCCAGTCAAATTCTATAATGCTGGTACTTTAATATCACATAATAAATTATATGAAATCTAATTTTCTATAACTTACGTAAAATTACATGTATTGTAAATTGTAATTTATGTAATAATATCCCTAGTTTTTCTATTTGTCGTAGGTTGGCATTATACAGAATTGTGTAATTTTACAAAAGTTTACCAACCCTAATCTGCCAATATGTTTACTACTGGTGAAATTAGTACTGAATTGTTAAAATTAACTTCACCAGCATCTTTGGTTGCAGCCTAGAAATTGAGATTTCTGCATTATTTGGAATGAGGCATTGTCAATTCAAAACATAGCATAGTGAGATTAATTTTTCTAAAAAATTATTATACAAAATTAGTTTATTGTAAGCTGTTACAAGTAACATGTTATGATTAGAATATCCTAAGTTTTTATTATTTTTTTGAAAAAATTTTTTGAAAAATAATCAATTTCACTATGTTAAGTTTTGATTGACGATGCCTTATATTAAGAAACAGAAGTCTAATGGTGATTCAGCGACTAGATAGGTATGTTGAATAAAAATAACAAGTTAGTTCTAATTGTTAATCAAATATGTTTATAATAAGTGAAAAGTAATTACAATGTGTGATACTTAAAATTATAGTATTTGATTTTGGTTACGGTTCATTTCACCAAAAATTAATTTACCAACAGTACGATTCACTAACAATCAATTCACTGACAAGTTAATTTTACTGACAATATGATTTACTGACAGTACATTTTACTGACAAGCTTTTTTTATAAATTATACTAACCTTGACTCTAATTCTAACCTGATCCTAACAGCAATAACCAGAATTACTTTGTCAGTGAATTGATTGTCAATAAATTGTACTGTCAGAGAAATGAACTTGTTAATGAATAATTGTTGGTGAATCATATTATAAGTGAATTGATTGTTGATGAAATGAATGAAACCTGTTAAGATATTTTTATCCAAAGTTTAGAAAAAAAAGATTTATAAAAGGATATAAATAATTTTTATTATTTAAATAATTTTTTATATTTATAATTAATTAAAAAAAATAAATATATATAAAATAAAATTTAGACAAATTGTCAAAGAAAAAATCTTATTTAAATATATATATATAATAAATAAAAAATATATATAAATTAAATAATTTAAATAAATATATATAAAATAATAGTTTGAATATATAATAAATAATATAATTTTAAATAAAATAATTAAATATTTTTTGATAACCAGCTATGTAAACATAAACATGCTCTTGCAGATTTACTATTTAATCTATTTCTTGATTTGTTAATTATTTGACCTGCAATTGAAAAAAATTGTTCACATAGAACTGAACTAGCTTGAATATATAAATAATTATGAGCAAGTTTTGAAAGTATTGGAAATTCTTCTGTATGAATATTCCACCAATTTAAAAGATTTATAGTTTCATCTGCTTCTATAGATAACCAATATTTTTGAACTTCATCATCTAATGTTTGTGTCTGTTGTGATAAATGTTTTAATTTTTTGATAAAAACTTGATATTTTTTTAGGTTTAGTTATTGTTGTAGATAATTGTTGGTCTATTTTTTTTCTAATTAGTATTAAAATTTCTTCAATACTCATATTAGAAAAACAATATTTTTTATATCTAGAATTTAAAAAAGCAGAAATATATAAAGATTCAGTTAATAAATTAAAATATTCAACATATTTATATATCATAACATCAATAACTTGCTGTAAATAAATATTTTGATTTTTATCTGATTCTAGATCTAAATTATTTCGAAGAGCTAATAAAATTATTTGTGTATGTACAATTATTAGATAAGTTTGTGATGAAAGTTCAATAGTAGTTTCATTAAATTGTTCTAATAAAGGAATTAAACTTTCATAAATTTTTCATTCTTCTTTGTTTGGCATATGAGTTTTTAAAGTTGGATATTTAATTAGTAAAATCTCTAGAGATTCATAAAGTAAACATGATCTTTTAATCATATGATATGTTGAGTTCTATCTTGTTTTATAATCTAAAATTGGAGCTAAAAAAGATTGGTTATCCAATGTTACAATATTTTTTAAATCTTCAAAAATTTTAGTTGATTTGTGAATAGTTTTA